AAAACAAAGTCTGACGCACAAAAAACAGAGCTGGCGCCAGACTTGGTTCCAGGCGCCAAGGCCTGGGGTTAGGCGCCAAGCCTGATTTTAACGCGTTTTCCAAAATCAGATAAATTTACCGTACTGGAGGATAAAATCATATAATTTCCTCGATAATGCTATTCGATTTTAATTAAAACTCTGAAAAGTCAAAAGTCAATTTATCAATGCTAATTGAATTAGGAATGAAAAGAACTTTCTAGAAGATTCTAGAAGACTAAAACCATTCTTAATCGCATTAAGAATGATAAATCATATTAGGTCCTCCCCAAGATCATTGGGCCGCATATAAAACTCAAACCGGGCCCAGTTTAATAAATTGGCCATAATTTCCTCAATATTTATCGGAATTGGGCTTACAATATATCGTTGGAAAGCTCTTGTCAACCCCATCCAACTACACTATTATTGGACCCATATCATGAACCAACCAAACTGGATTGGCTGTTTTCTCAAAATAAGTTTTAAAAAACAGAGAGAAAAAGAAAAGAATTAAAACTATCCGCAACGCTATACTTTCCACACTTTCACTTCATTCGATTATGATTCGACGCGAAAGGTACTCATCACTGGGTTTGGTTTTGGGGAGACACAAATGGGTGTCTACACAAACACTTTTATATAATCAGTTAGTACAATAAGTTAGTCAAATCAGTTAATAAAATCAGCTAGTCAAAATCAGCTAACTCAATCAGTTTCAGCTTTCAGCTTTCTCCCAAACAGGGCCAAAATACATGTCTCAAAAGCGTTGTACTTAATAATTTTTACAAAATTAGGGGGCGTACCCACAACTAGTAATAAGAAAGAAGGAATTGAACATTGTTTGCCTTATACACCTTGGAAGGAAGGCTTTCCACTACATGGTGTAGGGCCAGCCGGTTAGATATAGGCCCTGTTTGGTAGTAAGCTTATTGGGGGTATATTAGCTTATTTGACTAACTTTAGCTGATTGACTGGTCAAACAAGCTAATACAAGTGTTTGGTAGTAAGCTTATTGAAAGAGATTATTCCACTAAATAAGCTCTTTTTGAAAAAGCTCATTTTAGGAGCCTTTTAAATTAGCTTATTCATTAATTATTGTGAAATGACACTTATAACCTCATTTAATTTAAAATTCTATCTAAACTACCTACCCCACAATTAGCTTATTGGTCATTTCACATACTCAATCACCTTTAAGCTATCAGCTATTTACCAAACACTTTTTTATAATCAGTTAATACAATAAGTTAGTCAAATCAGTTAATAAAATCAGCTAGTCAAAATCAGCTAACTCAATCAACTTCAGCTTTCAGCTTTCAATATTTTCAAGAGGATTGGATTTAGTCCTAAATAAATGATGTTCCATAATTCTTTTGCTGGCATTCAGACAGTTAACTTAGCAAATATTGTCATCTCTTCATAAATAGCTCCAAAATTTGTACCTGTATAGACAACACTACCTGAAGCCTAGTAAATGCACCACAATTGTTTGTATATTTGTATGTTCCTATTAAGATATAAATAAAAAATATTTCTTGCCTTTCTTATGGCCAACATCAGGCCGGAACAACTGTTGATTAAGAAATAAACCCTGTGCTATCAAATTTAAGGCATTACAACATGTTAAATAAATAAATAAATAAAAATAAATAAATAAATTTAAGGCATTACAAGATGTAAAGGGGAAGGACCTCGACTCCTCGAGTGACAACCATTCTGTAAAAATATTACATGCCAATAAGAATTACATAGTTTTTGCAAAACAAGCAAGCAAAAATGCATACAGCCTATGTAATAGCATAGCAAACATACTTAATACTTTACTACAGTAAAGAATTCTGTAGAAGTCAGGTCATGTCCAGCTCCTTGCAAAACATACAAATACCAAGGTATTCATTCCAAGTGAAATATAGAAACTGCCAAATCCAATGACCTGCAAGAACTCAAGTGTGCTGACAGCCTGACAGGTATATAGTCATAGGTAGCAGACATTGTTATATTAAATACTCTGTAATAGGGCTGTCAAACGGATCGTGTCATGTCGGATTTGTGCTCATGTCGATATTAAATGGGTTGAAAAACTCTTGACCCAAACCTAACCCATTTATATAACGGGTAGAAAACCCTTGACCCAAACCTAACCCGCTTATTAAATGGGTTACCCGTGTAATACCTTTTACCCATATACTCATATAGTATGTAATAAACTATAATATTCAATTTAAAAATTAAAAAGACATACATCATTAATTCATTAATGAAACTACAAGAGTTTAATGTTAGTAATTTTAGCAAAAGTATTACAGGAATTTAAAGTTGGTTGCTTTAGCACAGCTATACATAAGAATTGTCCCAAATTAATAGTCAAATTTTAATTAACAAAAGTTGAAATTTATTTTATCCGTGAAATTAACTGCCAAAAATTACCTAAATGTATACTTGGTGCCAAGGCAATTTACAAAATTACAAGTTTAGAATAAAATTTTCGATTTTTTTTACTACTTAATGAATAGGTTAAGCGTGTCGGGTTCGGGTTAGCGGGTTATCGTTCAACCCATTTATATAATTGGGTTATGCGTGTCGATTTCGGGTTGAAAATTTCAACCCAAACCTAACCCGTTTAATTTCGTGTCTGGTTCGTGTCGACCCAATTATGTAAACGGGTCGAGAATACTTAACCCAAACCCGCTTATTTCGAATCGGGTTCGTGTCGGGTTATCGTATCGTGTCGTGTCAGCTTTTGACAGCCCTACTCTGAAAGATCGATTTATACAAATTAGAAGATAAACATCAATCTACTACACGAAAAGTAAGAGAGATAGGGCCAAGAAAATAGTTTATAGACCGACTTACAGTTGTGGCTGTGGTATCACAGGAGTAATTGCATCAATTGATGTATTTTGCAGAAAAACTTACAGTGGTGGCTTTGGTGCAATTCCAACACCCGAGGAAAAAAAAACTTACAGTTGAGCCAAAATAGCGTCTAATTAGAATGATCATAAAATACTGAATTTTCTAGTGAGTGAGAAGCAAACCTCAAAGTTGAATCCAAACTTGGTGATTTCATACCACATAACTCATACTATTTTTCATAAATAAATAAAATAAAAAATAAAAACTTTCATTTTATAACTCTCAAAACTTATTAATTAGTTCAATAAAAAGCTGAGCATAAAATTTTGATGGCTACATAATGATTAAAAGCATGAGAAAAAACAATAATAAAGGAGAACAATACATTTTCCCCTACTTGTTTTCCTCTACATATATTTCAAGATACAATTGTTCTTGTCATCAACTATGCTTCTCAATAACGAAGTTATGTATCAACAAATGTGTTGATGAAATTACCTTTAAGATTGCTGCAAACTTAATTGAAAGTTAATTATTCAAAGTAATTATACTTTCAATGTAATGCAAAAGATTGTTTGGATTTATTATTGAAATTATAAAATTTCCATGTTAACTTTAAAAACTAACAATTTTAGAATCCAACACAATCATGCATAGACATAGGAATGAATCAAACCTTAAAAAGAATTTCATAACAATAAGCAACAATTTTAATGTCTAGACAGTCAAAAATGAAAACCAACAACTTCTACAAGACAGCAATTGTGTGTCAAAACTCTTGCTGTTCTTTAATTGATCCACCTCTTGTGCCCAGCATTGGCACAAACCATAAGGGTGCGCAGAAATCAGAAAGGACATCATCTCCGTCGTACAATGTCTTAAACTCCATGTCTTTTATACTTAATATCCCCATATCGTGCCCCCCTGTGCCATACAGATTGTACCAAAATCGTAGCCTCAATAAGTGGTTTAAACTTTGTGGATGTCGTCGATTTTAAAACCCTTAAGCTCAGTGATCATCTACTTAAGTACATACAGCAACAACAACGTGTCTGATTTTAACATATTGTAAGATATTTCAAAGTTTCAATTGTATAATACTACGTAGAAGCTAAGTTACCGAGTATCGCTAGAGGTTTACTTTGTACCAAGTATAATTTTTTATGGTTCTCGGCAGTGCAATTTTTGCATGATCATTGATAAACTATATTTTCTTGCAATGTTGTCAAAATACACAGGACCCATAATATAAACTCTACCAGGCAATGTTGGCATGTGCTTTAACTTTGCAAAATGAAGTGATTTCACAAAAAGGATTTTACAAATTATCTCAGAAGTGAAGTGATAACAATCTCCAAATACTACGTATGTTTATACTCTGCTTACTTTCTACAAGATGAAGTGTTCCCAAGATAAGATTTCGTGGCAATTGTGAAGAAACGGGATTAAATATTCCATTTAGCTAGCATACAGCAAATCAAAGCAGGACAGCCTCACAGAGTCACAACCACATTGTCTGACGATATCTGTCATCACAGGTGTTATGGGTAAAAATACGCAAGGCCAAGTCAACGACAGTCAACACAGGTCAACGACGAAGACGTCCATCGACGAAGACGTCCGTCGACGAAGCTGTGAGAGTGACGAAGCTTGAGACATCAGCAGAAGACCGAGTCAAATAACGGCCTCCTATTCCTTGGGGAAAAGATTAGCTTAAGACTTAGTCCTACTTCAGCCATCCCAGTCCGTTGGAATTAAAAACAGAAGAAAGGGAATCTCCTCAACTAACGTCCTAAAATCATGGGCACAATCTTATCTCCTTGCAACGGCTAGGGTGTGACCTAGCAAACCATCTATATAAGGGTCGTAGTAGCAACGAGCAGGGCATCAGTTCATAGCATTCATTCTAGATCACAAACTTGTAAACCAATATTACTTTTCGCATAGTGAAAGTTTGGTAGATCCTCATTCTACCCGCGGTTTTTACCTTCTTTGGGTTTTCCGCGTCACCAATTCCTTGTGTCGTTTACTTATTTTTTATTTTCCGCCTTACATTATATTTTGCTTAGTTGATCCGTAGCCTAGATTTTGATAGTCAATCCCACTTAACAAAAATTAGCATAAACAACAGGTACATGTATGCCATATTCACCTTAATCTCAAATTTAATGAGAGACAACATAAGAAAACTCTTGGAATCTAAAAACGGTTAGGAACATCACTATTCACTAACACCCAACAACCTAGTACTGAGTACTCCATAGACTCCCCAAAATGACTGAGAGAAGATGGAGTTTAACAAGGCCTGGGAATGTTGTGCTAACAGATAGTCAAAATAACTAATACAATTGGCTATCGTCTATCAACTTACTGCTAATCACTAATTAGGCAAATAGGGCTTTAAAAATCCATACAAGTCTCACGTTGTTTAGCCTTAATAGGTGATATAACCAGATGTAACTCGACTTAGAACATTAGATTCAAATGAAAAGGTTCCTGCTGTTAAATTTTCTTTCTTTCTCAACTTAGATGTCTCTAGCTTGTTTTTGATAAGCATAATACTCAACCCAACAAATATGATGCATAAGAACCCGCCACAGATAGACAACACAATTTTGGATGTCCTTTTTAGGTGTTTGACTTGTAGGGTTGTAGCCCACCTTGCTGCAATGTAAGCTATGGCTAGGAAGAATACTGCAAGCCATAGGAGCTTATGTGTTAGAGTCAACACCCTTCGCATTGGTGTGGTGCGAAAAGGAATGATGCTGACAAGAATAACAACGATGCCAAGAGACAAGAAGAGAGCTACATCGTTGCTGATCAGAAATACCTTAAATGCTGTTGTTTGCGACAACACTGGCTTTCCTATGTTAGCTCCTTCTTGGAAAAAGCCCCCTGGAGGGCTCAGGCATCCTGTGAATGTTACTGTAGCAATTAAGATTGCGATTATGTTGATCGTATTCCTTGCATTTTGAAGCCCTTCCATGTGCATTTCATACATCCTTTTCTTCTGTATATCCTTACGAACACCCTTTTCTGCTTTTATAGTCGTAAGAATTGTTTTTACAGCTTTATATAAAGGCCTTTGATAAGATGCGTTTCCTGATATAAGAGTATAACATAAATCAGTTGTGATAAACTTTTTGTTAATACAACAAAAAAGATCATAAATTTATTAAGGCTGAGTTTGATTGAGAAAAGCAACAGTCTAATCCTGAAACGCACCTCTACAACCCTGATATACAGTACGTGAACTCGATGAGGTTGACGAAGATTTTCTTGATAGAACTTTGTCTACTTTGTGCTCAATGGTCACTAAAATCCTCCAAAACAAGAAATGACGGATAATATTATAATTATAAATCCTCTCTACTAATACTAGAAGATGCAGGAATTCTAGTATAAAGATTGTTTTTTGGTGAAGTCTGTAACAAAGATTGTAAACATGATAAGTGTTGAGTCTTTATTATAACTCTATAAGATATAAACATAAAACATATCAATGGCGTTGTGAAAACAATGATACAACATGAACATAGGCTCAAGCACAATTCAACATGTAACTAACCTTCTTGCAGCTTGGACTTATATGTTCGAGTTTCAATATCTGATAGGGTTTCTGTTAATTGAACCATCTGAGATTGATCTTCATTCAACTCTGTTTTTACAATCACATTAAAGAAAAATAAAAACAAAAATCAACGGGAGAAGCTCATTCTGGACATGAAATTTAATGCTTGAAAATTTTGTATAAAGCACAAGTGTATTAAATTGAAAGTAGTACGGAGTACAAATGATGAAATTACCTTCATCTTGTTGGCTTATTTCATTATCAGATGCTGATTTTGTGTTGGGATTAAATTTGTGGAGTTTTTTTAGCAAGAGGTCTTTGAGATGCAGGGCGGCAACATCTTCCAGTCCAGACTTCTCCAGAAAGCCAAGAGCAGTAAGCCCTACGTAGTTTCTAGTTTGTAGTTGTTGTTTTGTTGCTTTGCTGATCAGATATTCGGCAATCTGTATAATGTAAAAAGTGTTATTGGTCTTTTTAATATGTTATGTTGATCTCAAATAGAAGATTGCAGTCTGTAATAATTGAAATGCAATTAGTACCTATTCACTAAAATATTTAGTAGCATTGCTGTGTAAAACTAGTTTATGTTCTTGTGCAATGCACACAGATAGTACGTTGTGGCAGAGCGAAAAAAACAGAAGTTTGAGCCTAAGACAGAGAACATGATTGAAAAATAATCAAGGAAAACAAAAAAAGCAGAATATTTTCTTAGCATATTATACCTCAACTGAATTATGATAGATAGCAAGATGCAGGAGACGATTTCCATCTTGGTCTCGTCTATAAAAGAGATCGTTGGAGTCACCAAGAACTTGGATCAAGCTTACAAAGGCATCAAATTGATGGGTTTGAACTGCAAGATGAAAGATGGTTTCTTGCTTCTTGGTCAAGATCTTAAATGCAGACGGAGCAAATGCCTCAAATTCTTTAAAGATAGCTATTTTATTTCGCATTACTGCGTGATGCAGAGGAGCAAAGCCATGATTGTCATAAGATTGGGCAAGGTTAGGATTCGATATGAGCAATATTCTTGCGATATCAGGTTCACCCAATTCACAAGCATAGTGCAGTAAATTAAGTCCATCTTCATCTGATCTTTCCACAAGAATTGGACACGCTTCGATTAGCTCTCTGATAACTTCTGTATAAACATCAACACACACGGATTTTGTTTACATTACTCACAAGAAACCCCCCTAGAGTACGCAAAATGGAATAAAGGGATAAAAACAGAGAGATGCTTAGCTAAATCTAACTGACCTGCATACCCACGGGAGATAGTAATGCGTAGACAGGAAAATTCAGCAGCAAAATTGGACGAAAGAGAGAAAAAAACAGTTTCAACACTATTCATCTCTGACATCAAACGCCTCATCAGGTGACCATGTCCATGTTCACAAGCCAACAGCAAAGCACTTTTACAGTTAGACTGATGAAATACCCAAGGTTTAGCCTCCAACAAGGTCTCCAACACCTCTAGGTTTCCGCCACGACAGGCATCGAGTAGAGGAGTTTCTTTCTGTTGATTATGTGCTTTAACCAAGTCTGGCCGCAACACCACTATTTGATGAACAATTTTGGCATGCCCATGTTTACAAGCTAAATGTAGTGTCGTCTCCAGTGAATTCTCAGTTCTTTCGTCGAGTATTGAATCACCTTCTTCATCTAGTAGTTGCTTGAATAGCAACTGGTCATTCTGTGTGATTGCTTCGAACAATTTGAGGTTCATTTTTTTAACCTTTGTGTTTTTTATGGGAGGAAGGACAGACGGCTTTAACGACCAACCATATATAATACAGAGTAGAAACCTTACTTTTGCAACAACGACAAAGTCTTCCGTCTTCCATGGATGGGATCAAAAAACACAAAGTCTTCCGTCTTCCGTCTTCCATGGATGGGACCAAAAAACACAAAGTCTTCCATAGAAATTTCAACGAAAGTCGAATGATTGCTTATGTTACTGGCTAGTAATTTCAATTCTAGGGAGAGATTTAATTTCACGTCTATACTTTGTATGGAATATACAAGTGCATTCGAACCAAACTACAAGACTTAAATGCATTCAAATATGCAGGAATATTGAGAGCAGCTCCAATGACAAGCTAATTGTCAAATTAGTTTATCATACCAGGTAAGCTTTTAAGCTAGTTGTCATTTTAGCTTACTATTTAAATAGACCACAGCTCCTTAATTTACGTTGATAAATTTTATTTTATTTATTCTAATGTGTTTTATTTTAGCAAGTTTTAATCTAAGCAAATTAGTTTGTGTCTGGTGATGCCCTGAATTGCAGTGTGCAAATGTTACTTTTTTTTTTTTTTTTACTGCATATATATTTATTTTCTAATAATCTTGTGAAAATAAATAAATTAATGAAAATTCTCTTTGGTAAAACTATAGTTTTTATATTTCTTAATGGTAAATTACAAAAAAAAATTATTATCCTTTATAAACTTTAACTAGTTACAATTTTTCAATGGTAAATTTAACTAGATATAAGCTTAACTTTAGTTAACTAAAGATTTAATAACTAATTTAACCTTAATCTCAATTCCAGCCTACTATCCAAAATCCTTCGACCCAAAAACTAATGCCCAACAGCCAGAACCACCTCCCAGCAACCATAGCCGCCCCCTAACGACCACCGCCACCGCTATCGCCATCCTACAACCCACTATCTTCTAACCACACCAGACCCGCTCACTAATCACAATTCCCCTTCAAACCAGCCCATTCCACCATTACCCAGTCTCAACTATTGCCGCACCACCTGACCACAACCTCCGTCACCCACCATCTCCAACCTCCACTCAACCTTGCTGCCCAAAATACCCCCTGCTTCACCCCGCATCACCAATCTCAGCCCTCCCAACCGCCAGTCCACGCATCACAACACCAACACCAACTAACTCACCAATTCTACCTCGCCATTCAACCTTCAACCGCAGCCCACAACCCACCGCAATCAGTGGCACTACTGCTCTAAAATCTTAAACACCACAACAATGGCAGCAATTGGCGGCAGCCGAGCAAAAATCACGGCCACACTCGCCACCAACAGAAGCTCCTTACGGCAGCACCAGTCACAAATCGCAACCAAGAACCAACCCACTTCAATTAAGATAGTAGCAGCCCGTTAGTTTCAGCATACAAAGCCCCAATTCAATTAATTATCAACCTAATTTCCCAAAATTTAATTGCAAGGTTCGATTTTTCGATTAATTTATAGGACAATTCTTTAGTAACTTACCCTAAATTCAATCCTAAATTCAACAACAATAACAACATCAAGATTAATGGGGCCGACAAACAATTTAATTTCTGCAATTTGAAGATCCAATTACAAAAAGTGCAAAAACGATTACTGTTAGTAGAATTCTGCAAGCCCAAAGTAAAGGATGTAAAAATCAATTTGAAGGAGTACTTGCATAAATTGAGGATTTGAAGGATTATTTGGGGACGGGGTGGTGGTGGTTCAAGGGGAAGGAGAGATGCGATTGGATGAAAGTTAATTGTTCAAAATGTGAAAGATAAAGATGAAGAAAGAGAGGAGGATGAAGATGATGATCACAATGATAGGTTTAAGTGGGGGCATTTTAGGTATTTGATGAAATTAATTAAGGTTTAGGAATTTCAATGATTTATTGTAAAAAATTCTTAACCATGGTTAAAAATTAGCTAAATTATTTCATTAACTTTACCATTGAAACATTATAACTAATTAAAGTTTACCAAAGATAATAAGTTTTTTTGCAATTTACCAGAAAAATTAAAATTATAGTGTTACCAAAGAAAATTTTCCTAATAATAATAATAATGGTAAGTGTGTAGCATATATTTGTTTGAGTTTGAGGGTTCGAATCTAGATAAAACCATATTTTATTAATTTTGTTAAATAAAGTTGCAAGCTTACGTGTCGTTGTCGTGGCATTGTGACATGTTGTCATGTACGTTAAAGAGTGTCATGTTGTCATATACGTTAATAGTTAAGCTCCAATGGTTAAGCTAGTAGATAGGGATTATTATTTAATATTGCAAGCAAGTCCCTAGCTACAACCATTAGAGTTACTCTCATACGTTACGAAATTAGACAAACTTTTAAATAAATCGGACGTATAATAAATATTGTACATCCTTTATAAGTTACCCTAAAATGAGCAAAAATTACCCTAATATGAATAAAAATTACTCTGATAAAAATAAAAGTTAGGAAATATTTATGCTAATATTGATAAAAGTTACCCAAAAAATTGTAAAAGTGACCCTAAATTTGATAAAAGTGACTCCCGATGTACATTAAATTACCGTACATAGGATGTATACAAACCGAAATTAATAGTACGAAGTACTATCTTTTCTTTATGTTTTGCGAAGGACTTTTTTCAACATATTGTCTCCTTTGTTTTGTTCTCTTCATTTGTTGAGAGTTTTAATTTTTCAATTAAAAGATCAGTGGGGTAGTTCATCCCAAATTCCACATGAAAAAAATAAGGAAACAAAGAGCTCCTTGTAATTGAGTGAACATTCTATTAGTGTGAGGCTTTTTAAAAAGTTGTCCAAAAACAAATCCGTGGAAGCTAGGGCTAAAGCGGACAATATCATTCTAATATGTAATAGAGTGTGTGTACAGCCTAATAAAGAATTAAAGAGGGTGACCAGGCCCAACAAATGTAGCCTAAGGTTTCCTATAGCATTCCTAGTTTTCATACTAGGAACAACCAGGAATAGTTCTTGCTTGAATCCTGATCTCCTAACTGTATTTTAAAAACAAAGAAATTGTCAAATTAAGGCACACTTCTAAAACGTTGAATATTATTATCCCCTTGAATAGTCCGAATAATATTGTTGCCATAACTGGTTGTTTGGTCCCCAAGTCATGCATGAATCATAATCGAGAAATAAAAAATAAATAAATAAAAGTAGCTTGGATCCCAAGAGTATCCTTGTATAAATATACATGAAATAAATAGCCATCTCTCCACTCCACTTGCTTCACACCACCAATCATCAAAACCCATAACAATCAAATTTGCACTTCTCTTCCTTTTCTGTAGAAAAAAGCAAAATAAACCATTCAATTTGCTCTTCATCAATGGCATCAAGAAACATTCCCATGGAAGTAACCATAATTATCCTATCCCATTTACCTGTCAAATCTCTATCTCGATTCAAATGCGTATGCAAGTCCTGGAAAAACCTCATTGAAACTCCAGGTTTCTTCAAACTTCATCTCACCCGATCCCTCAAAGTCAGCTCCTACAATTGCTCTCTTATCCTCACAATTTATCGTACCCTCACGATAAATGGTTCCCCTACCATTGTCCGTACCCTCTACCGTGCTTACCCTGAGCTTAATGACACCAAACTCAAAATCAACAAGCTGGCTTTGCCTCCGTCTTTTAGCCCATCCCTCGAAAGTGTTAGAAGATACAAAACCTATTATGGAAACAGAACTGAAAAGCTAGCCTTTGGGAGTGATGTGATTGCTGGGTCTTGCAAAGGGTTGGTTTTGATATTAAGTGGAACACACCACATTGCGGTCTGCAACCCAACTATTGAGCAAGCTGGGTTTAAACTACTACCTTGCATAAGCTATAATTATGATTCTTATGACTATTATCATGAGAGTCATTATCAGTATTACCGCTTGTACTATGAGAATCAAATGTACCCACGCTGTGCGTGTCGAAGTTTTGATTTCAGGGTTTACGGGCTTGGCTATGATAGCTATAGCCGTTGCTTTAAGATTGTGACGTTAACTTCAACAAGTGCTCTCATTCTTAGTGTAATGAAGAAAAGCCAGTCATGGAGGGAGATGAACCTGCCTGATATCAAGCACAATGTCCCTACTTATGCAGGGAATTGGGAAGAAAAGTTGTATATCCGGGCATACGACCATGGAATCCCAACCAACAACCACTTACACTGGAATATAACCAAGTATGATCCATTGGTTTTTGAATACTCGAGGGAAATAATCCTGAGCTTTGACCTTCACAATGAAGAATGGGGTGAAGTGCCAATACCAGATGTATTAGATCAAGGATATTTTTTGCATGGCTACATATCAAAGCCTTACATTATAGAGCATGGAGTGCTAAGTGAATGCTTATGCCTCTTGATATCTAAGGGTATAAGTTATCCTTATCTCGAGTTGTGGATTATGAAAGAGTATGGAGTGAAGGAGTCGTGGACAAAGTTGTGTAATGTCCCCATTGGAAGTGGAATTCCTCTGGTTTATCACACAGAGCGACATGAATTTTTGTTGCCAGGAATCCAGCATGGTTTGGGTTGGTATAATCCACAAGAGAACAGGATAAGGAAGGTTGAGTTTCATGGTTGTGAGTTTACCGGAGAGCATTACTATTCTACCAGAGTAAAAACATGTATCGAAAGTTTTGTTCATCCATTTACTAATATGGAAGGAAGAGAAGGAACAGAGGAAATTTATCAAGAAGAAGAAAATCTGCTACATTGACTCTACTGACTGTTCGCACTTGTGCAGCTTCTCCTGTGCCTGTTAGTATGGGTGTAGTTTTTGGGACAGACTTTCAGTATTTTCTAAGTAATTCTGCAATGCTACTGTGCATTGGGAGATAAATTCTTGTAATAGGTAATGGTTAATTCTGAGGATAAATAGAAGGAAGAATAATCAAAAGAGAATAATGAAGCAAAAATGTGGACTATAAATTTATGATTACATATATGCTCATAGTTATGCTAATTTTCTTTCATTAAAAATTGAGGCTTGAGTTCGTATTCAATGAGCTGATTAATCACAACTTATGTAACCTAATCTGGCAATTTACCTGTCAGGTGAAATATATTGAGCTAATGTATGCCACAAGCCAAATACCATTCAGCTAATGTATGCAAGAAAACAAGATTATACTCAGTTGTTAATACTTATGGAGCACAAATTAACAAAATCCATCAACAGAGAGTACAATGCATCCAAAGATAAAGAGTTACCAAGAGATGCATGCCGGTTCATCCTTTGGATCAGCATGAACAACCAACCAAGCTGAGTGTCTGGCCTTGTTCAAGCTCCAAGGAAAGGCAGAGAAAACCAGTTTTATTACATCTCCACGTTCAATGCCTCTCGTGTAAACCCAAATTATGATCTGACTAGGTATCTGTCATTAAAATGTAGAACAACCTCAACCAAAAAAACGCTTACACTTCACATCTCATATATAAATAACAATTGAATCTGTTCTTGGAGCCCATGCCTCGGTTTTACCTTTATACAAACCAGCTACATTCACTGCTGAATGCTGATGCAAAGATGTTTTCACTGCTGAATGCTGATGCAAAGATGTTTTCACACCTCTCTAATATGAAACAGAAACTTGTTATGCTTTGTATATAGTATGATGACTATGATCATCTGGTCTCCAAGCCCGAGATTAAGATTTTAACACCACTGCAAGAACTTTTATGGACAACACCCACGAAGAAGTATGTGAATGCTTAGTGAGTTGTGACAGTAGCTGGAGATATGGAATCTTAAAGATAAGTACACTGCAAGAGGAGGAAATACTGAATCAGATATAACGTCCTTCAATCAACGAAAACTATGCAATAAAGTTTACATTTACCTATAACAGGTTTTCCAGCTCCATTAGAACTTTGCTAGAGAAGACTAGGTGAGCCAGTGAAAGGCAGAAATGTTTCACACAGAACCCACAGCATCATTTGGCAGCTGATTAGGCTAAACTCTACCAAGCAATGTTGATTGATGCTTCACCATTGCAATTTGAAATGATTTCATCCTGGAAAAGCTTTTGCAAATTATCACATGAACGAAGAAATAACAGTGTCCAGAATACTTTTATACTCCACTTACCTTCCACATGGTTTGATCCTTTAGATGGTCCATCCACATTCAGCGGGTCATTGCAGTTGGTACCCGGGACCTTGATCTTTCTGACTGTTGTGATAAAATTTTATGTTAGGCGGTGGAAATGTATAAAGTTGCTGTATAAAACACACCAATGAAGCGATGTTTATGGTCAAAAGGGCCTTATAGGGCAATGGTTTTGATTTATGCATATATAAGCCAAAAGCCATTGTAACTGCATCATAAACTTCAATTAGCACTTGCAAATAGGAAAATCACAACTTACAAGATGACTGTTCAATTCCCCAAATACGATTATGTGGCAATCGTGAAAAAAGGGGATGAAAAATTGCATTTAGCATATAAAAACATGAAAGCAGGACAACGACGCCGCCACATTGTCTCAAGTCTCAATCTAGGATAAGGTCCTACTCCTAATAAAATGCTGCTATCTGTCATCAGAAGAACGTAAATGCCATATTCACCTCAGTGGGCTTAAATCCAAATTAAACTAGGCAACATAAGAATATTCTATGAAATCCAAAACAAAAAGAAACATCACTAACACACTCAGTAACCTAAAACTCAATGGATTCCCTAAAGTCACTGAGAAGAAAGAGTTTACCATGGCTCGAGAAAGTTAATCGCGAGGTGATTAAGCAAAATCGAATTGCATTGCCTCTCACAAGCCATAAAAATTTATACTTCGTACAAAGTAAACCTTTAAAAACTCAGCAACTTAGTTTTGATTATACAATTGAAACATCATACATCTTGTCAAGATCAGACACACTATAAGTACTTAAGTAGATGATCATTGAGCTTAGGGTTTTAAAATCGACGAGTTTAATCCACTAATTGAGCCGCACAACTTCACTGACTTAAAAATTTAAATTAAAAAACACCAGATTCAATTGATAAAATTTCATTGTCAATTGACAAAATAAATCAAACATTCAACAAATCAAGCACAAATTATCAATCATAAGAATAAGATTTTGCATCCAATATACTCAGAATTAAAAAGTTAATCATTCAAAAATTAACATAATAACCAACATTTTGAATTGAAGAAACCACAAATTCCTCCAATTTTCCTGTTTATGTCTCGATTCCGAGCCAAATTCTGATCACAAGTGTATTTTCTAATAGCAATCACATTTTAAAGACATTTACGTTAAATTTTAGCATTGTAAAAAAAAAATTGCAAGAAATCATAATTTCAGCTCCCAAAAAGTTAAAATTTACAAAAATAAATAAAGAAAAGCGTTTGTGTTGGGGAACTTACAGTGTCGTTGACATCAATATTATCGGAGAAATCTAGAAACATTTCTATGGCTCCTCCATCTGCCATTGTTGAGCTTCTAACGTAAAGAAAGTACAAGTACAAGTTTACTCCCTTCCTGGAAAAATTGTCAATCCCCTTCATCCCCCAATTTTATGGAGGATGTTATTTTATCAAAAAAAAAACCAATTTAAAAAGATAACCCTAAGGTGGTTTTTGGTAAATGGGATTGGGAATGAATAGGGTGAATTCCCACCAATTTATTATCTAAAGAGGGTAAGTAATAAATGAGTGGGAATGAGAATAAATAGAAAATGATAATTTTTCCATTAACGAAAAAAATAGAGAAGAAAGACTAGTAAGGGTAGTTTTGTATTTTTGATATTTATTCTCATCTATTCCCATCCACTATCCAAACAAACTATTGTCATATTTTTATACTAGTTTTGTGCCCGTACGATGCCCGGGTTGTTCAATGGATTTTAAGATTTATTTTTAATCTATATGTCAAATTTTAAAGGAAAATTTGCAAATTGCAACCATTTAAAGTTCGTATTTTGCAAATTGCAACCATTTTAAAAAAAAATTGCAAATTGCAGCATAAACGTTAATATTGTCATTAAAATTGATATTGACAATATTATAATAATCTTGTAAAATAATATATTCCAATACAATCTATGTTAGTATTTTTGTAACTTAAAGTTTCCTAGTACTTCGTATATAGAATATATGTAAAAAAAAATTAATTGAGTATAATTGAATTAAATATATTGTCAAAATGGAAATAATTATTATCTTAGGTTATAAAATGGATGTCATTAAAATATGGCAAAAGACTAAAAAGGAAAGGAAAAAAGGCGGGAAAATTTTTAACTAAGAAATGACAAGTGTCATTCCTAGTTTCGCCTTTAGTATAGGTTTATCGATTCGGCAATCCACCTACCCTATGCATCCTAATACTAACAACCCCCACCCCGATGCTGGTTTAATTTAATATTGGGTCTTGTGAAAAAAAGTACTCCAAATTTTTTCTAATTTTATTTATTACAAAGTACAATTTTATTTTATTTTTTTTAATTTTAGTTAATTAGGTTTAGTTAGGTTTAAATTAGGTTATACCAACTAACCACACAATGCATAGAAAAAGCATTAATTAATTTCTTTTCATAGTCGGAGATCAAGGCTTCAAGGCTTTATAATACACTTTGCTTTACCCCATTGGTGAGGATATCCGACAACATCTGCCACAACTTAGAAAACAATACCCTCAAGATGCAATGGTAAACAAAGATTCAACTAAGGTTGGAGACGGGAAAAAAATAATCTTGCCACCATTATTCACCAGAGACTCAAGATATACATATATACCAGAATTACAAAAACCAATATACTCTACACATTGCATACTACATAATTGGGGTTGAAGAGGGGATAGATTAATCCTGCTAGTGTCATTCACAGGAAGCCAAATATGCATGTAACACCCCTTCCCCCCCCCCCCAAATTACTCTCTAATATTGACAATAATAATCCAACTTTCGGGAGTAACTTACTAACTTGGGAGTATTACCACCACGTGATTACGTAAGGCTTAATAGAGATATGCAGCGAAAGAATAATACTTATCTTTTATTAGTAATAATAATAGTAGTTCAAAACATTTTCGGAATAACTAAATACTTTGACTAAGCTTCAACATTAAATTAAACTAGGTGATCACCGCCTATCATCCCCAGTGCAGTATTTATTCCACGTCGTTCGGTCATCATCACCTAGGCCTAACAACTCATCATTAATGATAAGTAGGGCAAAGCCAAAACAAAACAAATACGTACTAGCAAAAATGTTAAGTACATACAAATGCTAGAAATGTAAAACAGTTTAGTTAATCAAACATGCTTTCGAAATGGTTTGACTTCAATAAATGTAACACCCCAATAATTCCCTCTTTAAACCTATGAGGACCCTGAACAATATTCAAGAGAATTACTGGCGTGCTACCGCCACGTGTTCAAACGTTAAGGCTTTATTAGAAAATAGCAGCGGAAAAACTAATTCAATTATAAATAAGTTTCAAAATCAATAACCGCTCCAAATTAAATCTTACAACTTGGAACCATTAAAGCCCTTATTTAAAACTCAAACCAATAGAATAGTATGAAAGTAAAGTTGTGTTTAAATAACTTTAAAAGTAAATAACATAAAAATAAGAAAAGTAACCAACTCTCCACTCAAGATCCCACCATCTAGAAACGGATGTTGCATGTGTAAGAACCTGTGGTTAATCTACTCCCCAATATTAAAAGTGTAAAAATTGGATCGTCACAGGGTCATTGAAAGGCGAAGGCCATGACCAAAGAAAGACACACAAAGCACGCAATCAGCAAAGCTGAGTACATACAAGCTGTAAAACATAAAAGAAATCTCTAACATGCTACTAATAATCAATCATCATGAATCATTAGTTTATAGACTCGACACATGACTCAATTATTTATATATTACTAAGACTCTATTAATTAATAATAGGTAAACATTATTTTTATTCATTGGATTAAGCAGTAGACAAGGTTGTCCAACCCATGCTCCATTTGGAACATCAATAAAAGAAAAAATCCCATGCCTCCTTTTGGAAACATCAATAAACATCCAACGACCACGGGCGCGACTGTGCGACTGTAATTAGTATGAGATCTCATCTAACTCCTATTTTCGAAAAGTATTTGAAATAAGAGACTCATAGATCAAACGGCCTCAAGAAAAGTGCACGACTAATACCCCGTGTACCCCAACCCCTGGTTGTCATTACTCTAGATGTGCACCAATTAAGAGTTTTATTGCTCTCATCCATCTTGCACTTTACGTGATTTACAGGTTTAGACTTGGTGATGACTCATATGAATAACAATACAAACATTCCAATAACAATTCAATCAAGCAAGGCAAGTTTTCAATTTCAATTCTTGATTTATTAGTGACAAACAACATTTATTATTTAATCCTTTAACTACCTCGGTGTATAAACACCTTGAGTGCATAAGGCACCCCACAAACTTAACCTCGTCATATAAGACTTAAATTCTTCCTTTACTCATCCTGTTTACATAATAATGAATGAGTAATAAATTAATCATTACACCAATCACATACCTTTGCCTCTAAGCGCACCTTACATAATTAGAGCACAAATAATATTTGCAATATAAAATAGTGCACGTCATACGAAATTCACAATGTATAACCAAACAATTTAACTCAGTCATCCCTATACATGGTACTAAGTTCTCGATCCGTCCTTAAACATGCACCTAAAAGCAAGGTTTCGTAACTTGTACGTACCTTGAATAAACGAATTGGTATGCCACTTTACTATTTAGAAATCATCTTCAATAAACTCCTCTCCTAAACCAAACAATAACATCTCAATCAATACCCAATCAATCTAATTTACAACAATACTAACTTACTTTAAAACCTTCAAAATTCAAATCAAACAACATTTTAAAACCTTCCCTTTAGTTAAAATTAAAGGCTTATATATAGTTATTTAAGTTTCCTTCATAAAAACCTTAAAAATACACTCTTATACTTGAAATTACAGCAAGTTTAAAGTTTAATAAGAATCTGAAAATTATTTTAAAACCCCTAATTATCTCCCTTTTTAATGGGTGAATAAACCCTCTTTATAAAACATCAAAAGTAGTACTTAGAAACTATTTCCAGCTCTTTAGATTAATTAAAAAAAAAAACTTCACAACTTTATCAACACATCACTTTTATACTCAATTAAAAGTCTCATAGGAAATAATCACTTCTTACAAAAAAAACAACCAACAATTAATATTACTAACCCAAGTAATTTCCAACAATATAATATGATGAAAAACCACTTAAAACTTCAATAAAAACATATATGTATGCTTAATTAACTATAAACATAATTAATTTTCTTAATCAAACTCAAAGATAAAATTTTAAGCATAAAAAAAACTTCGTTAAAAATCAAAAACTGCCCAAAAATCATATTTAAAGGCTTAATTTGGCCACGATAGGGTGGTGCTCAGTTCCAAAGGTACTGAGTCTATCTTAAACGTTGTTTCCACATGGAAAACACTACTTTTTTTTAATCAAAATCGGATGAGTTCAGAACCTGATCGGGATTAAAACGGGATTAATATTAACGAACGAAAATCTAAATGTTAAAACACGAATTTACGTGTTCAAAATAATCTGGAATTAAGTTAAACTAATCAGTAGTTATAATCACCAAAATTTCAAAACATCATTACTATAAAAGCCCTAAATCAATTATTCATAAAAACCCTAAAATCATGATTTTCGATAATTAAAAACCCCAGATTATAAAATTTACAAAATCTAAAAATTATGACATTTATAAAATCTGAAATTATAAAGTTTAATCATCAAAATACAATTTGATACTAATTAAATTAATTTCAAACAATAAAATCAAAACCCATAAATCAATAATTATAATTATACAAAGTAATAAAACAAAGGAGAAAATAAGACTAACCTTTTTTGTGGGAAAATTTTGGGGATTAATGGGGTATTTATAGGGGAGAATGTTGTAGGGTAAATAGAAAGATTGAGCCTCATAAAATTAATGGGTCAAATGAATGAAATGGACTAAGCTTTAGTTGTATTTAAATATATTATAGAATGAAGGTACATAAAATAATTTGTACCAAAATAATTTTTGACCCAAATTAATAATTTGAATATTTTGAAATTAAATTACGGAAAAATGCAAATCAATATTATAAATAAAATTAAATTTCATTTATAACATATTTAAAAATACGGGGGGATTACAATAAACCATAATTTATCCAAACCTTGTATGAATAGAGGTTCACGTATTATTTGCACAATTTAGGTGGATATGAGGAGTTATTTTTGTTCTTGATTGTGTTTTATTTTTGATGATCTTGAAAGTTAAATTTCTTTGAAAAAAAAATAAAGTGTGATGATATGAAAAAAAAATAAAAGGAAAAAAAATAAAAGGAAAAAAAAAGAAAAATAGTGAACTTCAAAAGAAAAAAGAAAAAAAGAGCAAAAACGAAAAAATGTAAATGTTCAAATGTTCTAAGAGAAGGTTGATCAAGAAGGGAAAAATTTGAGTTTCAATGAGAAAAAATATTCAAGTTTGGAAGCT